AGAAGACTAAGTCTGTGACAGGACCACTCTGTGACATCCTACTTTTGACAAATTTGCTTTAAGGTTATTAGTTGTTTCTGCGTATATTATTTTATCTCCCTGTTTGTTCCACTCGATGACAATTCTGCAGCTGAAAAATTTTTTGCTTTATTGATTCCGAGCTTTTTTTAAAGATCTTATATTCATACCCACTTTTTTTACTGTTCATCTTAAAAAATTTCGTTGATTCCAAATTCTCCTTTATATTGATGATTTTGTATGCCTGAATCAAATTTCCCCTTGATCTTTTTTTTTCTAATGTTGTCAATCCACACAAACTTTTAATCTGTCTTCATATGGCACACAGCGACACTCCTTTATCAATCTTGTTGCCCTCCTGTGAATATACTCGAGCTTATGTTTGTTCATTTGTAAATCTGGATTCCAAAGCTGAACATAGTACTCCAACTTAGGTCGTACCAATGCTATATATAAGTTTAATTGCCTTGTCTTCCAAGCCATAGTGTTAAACATTTTGTCATACTGAGAGTCCTATTTGCACTTTTAGCTGCCTCGATGCATCGCCGCGCTACCTTACCATTTCGATGAATTATCGCCCCTAGGTCCTTTTCCTCCTCTACATTTTTAGTGGTGTGTCTCCAGGTTTGAATACGTTTGCCTTGTTGTTCGCTCCCATGTGTATGACTGCACATTTGTTGGTGTTGAATACCATCTGCCAATCTTCTGCCTATTTGCAAATTTTTTGCATTACGCATGCTAGAATTTCAATATCTTCATCGTTGTCCGAGACGGCACATTAATTTCGTGTCATTTGCAAGTTTTGAAACTTTAGACTTTATTCCTGGATAAATATCCATGATAACAACGGTCCTAATGCGGATCCTTGAATGAGCGAATAGTGAAACAAGTGAATGAAAAGATGAATGAGTTTGACTTTTTTTTGTTATTGTTTTTGTTATTGTTGGCACTTTTAAAGTTATTTATTTTCAATTGAATACCAAAAAATTATATAAAAAATGAAAATTCAAGATTTAATTGAATAAATAAATGGGTAAAATTTAATTAGTTAATCTGATTAACTCTAATTACCTCAATTAACTTTAATTAACAATAATGAAATGAAATTAAGCAACAATTGTATCTCAACGTGGTTGCACTATGCAACCAACTCTACCCCAAATATATGTATAAATATATAGATAATTATTGGTATTTATTTAGACTTTATTCATTCTTTCATTTTTTTGTTCATTTATTCATTCATTCATTCGTTCGTTCGTTCGTTCATTCATTCGTTCGATCGTTCATTCATCCATCCGCTCATTTACTATCGTAAAACGACATCCTTAATAAAATTGATGAATACAAAATGCATTGATGAAATACGTGTATATATATTTTGATTTTATTAGCATTAGTATTATTAATGTGGCTGATGTGTTTGTTTTGTTGTTGCTGCTGTTGTCGTTGTTGTTGATGTTGTTGTTGATGACATCAACACTGCCCTTGTGGCTTTTGCTGATTTTATTGTTGATGACGATACTGTGTTGACATTGTTGTTGTTGTTGCTAACGTATGTTGATGTTGTGTGACCAAAAACTATGCATCATGCATCTTACCAAAAAAAACTTTATTCAAATTCTAGTCATTACGTCATAAACTGCTGATGACGTAACATTATATATATATATATATATATATATATATATATATATATATATATATATAAACTTTGCTTTTGTAACGATTTGGTAACTAAACTCACTGTTATAAGCGTTAATATAGATGTCGTAAACTGCTTGTACTGTCATTTCATTTATACAAAAAGTGAATTGAATACATACATACATATATACATTCATGCATACATACAAACAATTTGTATGTATGTGTGGATTGAATTGAATACATACATACATATATACATCCATGCAAACAAACAAACAAACAAACATACATACATACATACATACATACATACATACATACATACATACATACATACATACATACATAAATATATATATATACATACATACATACATACATACATACATACATACGTAGACATTTTTCATTTCGTTTTGTTTTTATAAAGTTTTAGTATTTATTTATTTGCTATCATCAAAGTATATTCGTCTATAAAATCAAAAGGTGTAATTTGTATTTTGATATTTATTCTAATTTATTTTTTTCCGTTTTATTTATTTATTTATTCATCCATTTATTCATTTATTTATTCTTCTGTCATTCTTTCATATTTCATTGCATACTTGCGATTATAGATATAATAAAACTATCTTCATCGTCGTCATCTCCATCGAAATTATCTTTTTCCTCAAATTTTCAAAAATGCCACGAAAGAAAATAAACTAAATAGCAAAATGGAATATAATTCAACGCAATTGAAAACAAGAAAACAATAAAATATAACTCTTCATACAATTAAAAATCTAAAAGTGCCATTATATTCATTCAATTAATTAGATGTCTGCCTTCAATGCACACGTCTTTGGTAGTGTATTCGGACACGCACTGTGTGGTGTGTGTGTGTGTGTGCGTGTGTAAATCAATCATAATAAGAACATTTAGTATAAAAAATTGGCTAGTTGGTTAAAACAATTTAATTATGGTTTCATTTAATCAAAATTCAATTTGAGCCAACGTTATCTGGTGAATGAATCTGAAAAAAAGGTTTTATGGAAATGTAAAATGAAGTTTTTAAAAACAAATTATAATATTGGTTTTGTTACAAATTTGAAATTTTCAATGAAATCTCGTTAAAAACTTACAACTAATTCCATCAAATCATAAAGTTTTGGCATAGTAATTAAACTATAGTACTCTGACACGAGCTACTCTTAACCATTGGGTTCGTCTGACATTGGATGATCCACAGTTAACGTTTAACTTGATCAAACTGGAAGAATGTGTAACCTCTTCGTCGTTTTCATCATCATCGTCATTGTTATCATTATGGGCAATCTCATCAATATTATCCTATTTATTACACTGACGTTGTATTCCTTCACGGAAGTATTTTTAAAAAAATTCAAGATTTTATTTAAGAATACTCTATTATTCATTCGTTTATTAATTCTATATACTTGTATATTCGTTCATCCTTTTGTTCGTTCATTCGTTTGTTTGTTCGTTCGTTCGTTCATTCATTCAGTTATTTATTCATTCATCTATTTAGTTTTTCATTCATTCATCCGTTCATTCATTCACCTTTTCTTTCATGCATTAATTCATCATTCATTCAATTATTCATCATATTTCGGAGCACTGAAATCTCAC